TGTGAGCCTTTTGCGTCGTATTTCCAAATCGCTGTCCAGCGAACTCTAGCCAGGACGAGGCCCGTCAGCGGTGCCTGAGGACCTGATCACCCAAAGCCTTGCCCACAGGCGGTTTCATGATTTTTAAAATTACTGCCCATGTCACAGGCCTCCCCCAAGTGGCACATTGTTTCCATTTCCATCTATTTCATTTCTCTGGGCGTGAACATTTTATTGGTTATTGGCATTTAGTCTCAAGAGATTTGTTTTTTCTTGTCCTTTTGCCTTTTTTTTTTTTTTTTCCTGTTGGGCATTCATTTTCTTCTTTTTGCGTTGCATGCTTTTTTCACATTAAAGATGTTCATCCTTGTCTCGCGTGTGTGTTCTTTCACTTTTGTTTTCTTTTTTAGGAGACTTTGCCTTCTCAGTGCGGTTTTAGATTGACAGCAAAACCGAGCAGCAGGTGCCGGTCGCCCACGCCCCTGCCCCCTCCCCTGCACGGCCGCCCCGCGATCGCCCACCTGCCGCGGTGACGGCGCCCCCGCTGACACGTCCCCGTCCCCGGAGCCCCGCCCCCCCTCCGCCGTCCGCACTGGGGTCAGGCCGGTGGGGTCGTCCTGTGGGTTTGGGCAAACGCACGGTGGCAGGGACCCGCCAGCACAGGGTCACACGGGGCAGCCTCACTGCTGCACGCCCCCGCCCGCCCCGCCCCGCGCGGTTCAGCCCTCCCCCACCACGCGCCGCCGCCCCTGGCCTTTCCTGGCGCCAGGCTTTGCCTTTCCCGGAGTGAGATACACAGTCGGGGTCACAGAGCCTGCACCCTTCTCGGCCGCGCTGCTTTCACCTAGTGATGCGCATTGAGGTTTCCCCTGTCTTCTCAGGGCTCGGCCGTTCCCCTCTTAGCGCTGAATGATGTTCTGTTACCTGGACGGGCAGTAGCTGGTGTGTCCCTTCACCTACAGAAGGGCATCTTGGTTGCTTCCAAGTTCTGGCAGTTATGAGGGGCCACCAAAGGGCGACGTTTTCATCCCCCCACCCCCCACCAGCCACTGCGCACGCACCCAGCACCACCCTCCAGAGCCGGCTCGCCCTTCCCAACGCCACCTCCCGCTCGCCCCGGGGGCAGGCCAGGGGGTCCAGAAACCTGATCCGGGACAGAGACTCGCTCGCTCGGACAGTCCTGGGCGGAGACCCCTGTTCCGCTGCTGCGGCCGGGAGGACGGGCCGGGTCCCGGGCGGGGAAGGAGCCCCGCGGAGGCAGAGAGACAGAGGGACAGAGAGATGGAGGGACAGGCAGACGGAGAGGCGAGTGACAGGCCCCCACACACGCTTCCCCGCAGCAACTTGCCCCCAGGCCGGAGGCTGCGTAAGGCCGTTCCAGCTCCTTGGGGGAAAATCATGTGAATGAATCAATTGGTAAGTTAAGTGAAGACTCTGTGCCTGGGCTGTGGCTGGCACGGCTCCGTGGGTGGGAAGCCGTCCCCTCAAACCAAGGGGTCTCTGGTTCGGGTCGTGGCTGGCGCACCTGCTGGGCTGTGGGCTAGGTCCCCGGCCAGGGACACGTGGGAGGCAACTGGTGGATGTTTCCCTCCCTCTTTCTCTCTTCCTTTCCCTCTCTCTAAAAAGTAAACAAATACAATATAAAAAGAAAAAGACACTGTGCTTGGGCTAACCGCTCGAGTTCTGTCAGCCTGTCGTTCAGCTGGCTCAGGAGTCTCAGAACGAAGAAATACAAGAGCCAATCAATAAGTCGGGTTATTAGAAATGTTAAAACCTGGCCCCAAAACCTCTTCGACCTTAAGAATCACAACTCACTCATTGTGGAGGTGGCTCCCTCCCCACTCAAGCTTTTTCTGAAAGCAGAGGCTGACTGTATGTATCAGCTACCTATTGCTGTGTAACAAACGACTTCAAATGTTGCCGCTTAAAACAACCACCTTTTATTTGGCCGTTCTCCTGGTTGGGCTTGGCTAAGTTAGGCCAGTCCGCGGGCACTTGCTCAGGCTCCCGGAGCCGGTGGGGGGGCAGGGGGTGGAGGGTCTGAGACCCACCCTGTCTGGGCTGCGGAGGCGCCGGTGCTGACTGGCAGCTGGGTCTCTCTCTCCCATGGTCTCTCGATGCCAGGCTTCCCGAGGCCACCCTGGAGCACACAGAATGTCCCTCACGCCACAGCCACTCGCAAGGCCTGCCCGGGTTTGGCACGCACAGATGGACCGCGCTCTGGACAGAGTGACTTGTCAGGACCCTGAGGCCGGTTCTGGCCTCCGACCCTGGCCGGGCCCTGGGCCGGTTCCGAGGTAGAGAGGACTCCCCTGCTCTGTCCTCTGTCCTGGCGCGGGCTTGCTTTTTTGTTTCTGGTTTTGCATTTTGGTGATCCTCAGAAAAGGGCACACGCTGAGAAACACATTTTTCAAGTCTAGCATCTTCTAGCTTTAGCTACAAAACATTTTTGCTTGTAGTGCATCGGGAGTTATTACCTCCATAAACCATCCTTTTAACTTTAATGCACCACCCATAATAATTTTATGAACAAACCAAATTATATGCAGCACGTAGGAATATTTCTAACACCAAATTGCTCCACATGTGTAAAAAGATTTAAAAAAAATTTAAACTGCATATATTTCCATTTTCCTGAGGTTTTATTTCCTTATAATTTTTTTCTACAACTTCAAGATTCTCAGACATTTACGTTTTCATCCCAAGCATGAGTTTTAAATGCCGCCTGCTCTGTGCCCAGCCCGTGCCAGGAGCCGCGGATGCAGAAGGCACAAAGATACGGCTCTGACACCATGGCAGCTGGGCTTGAGGGGGACTCGTGCCGCCCTGATGACCCAGCTGACCACGGTCATCGGCTATGACAGGTCCTGGGAGCAGAGAACTGCGGCTCCATCAGCTTTGCCCCAGGATGAACCTACGGAACCCGGGCGGCGGGTCCCAAGCTTAGTGTCTTGAATTAATTCATCCATCAATTAATTCATGCAAATAATTTCCCCCCAAGGAGCTGGAACAGGCTTAAGCAGCCTCCCGCCTGGAGGAAAGTTGCTGCGGGGAGGCATGTGTGTGGGGGGCCGTCACTCCATCTCGCTGTCTCTCTGTCCTTCCGTCTCTCTGCCTCTGTGGGGCTCCTTCCCTGCCCGGGACCCGGCCCGTCCTCCCGGCCGCAGCAGCGGAGCAGGGGTCTCCGCCCGGGACTGTCCGAGCGAGCGAGTCTCTGTCCTGGATCAGGTTTCTGGACCCCCTGGCCTGCCCCCCGGGGTGAGCGGGACAGGGGCGTTGGGAAGGGCGTGCCGGCTCTGGAGGGTGGTGCTGGGTGCGTGGAGCGGCGGGGTGGGTGAGGCGAGAGGCTAGGAATAATGCCACCCTTTGAGGGCCTCTCCAGCGGGTCTGGAGGCGAGCCCAGGATGGGCCGGCCGGCAGGAACCACCCCGAGCACAGGCTCTCCTGGCCGCCGGGCCTCGCTGATCAGCGAGCAGATTGTGAAACTCGGTGCGAGTGGCGTGGTGGGGGGCTGTCTGCAGACCCGGGCTGGCCGGGCTGGCCTCGTTTTGTAAAGTGATCTCATAGCGCCGCCGCCGGCAGGGTCCCCGCGGGGAGGCAGGCGGGTCCCTCAGCCTTTTTGGGTCGCGTCTGCCCTGCATCCGCCTTGGTCCTGCTTGCCCGCCAACCTTCCCTCGGGGCTCCCTGTCTCCCCTGAGCCTGGCTCCAGGGCAGCCCAGGCGCCCACAGGAACGGAGGGCCGGCTGAGCCCGCTGCCCAAGGCAGGGCGTGGAGGGGAGCCGCCGGGGCCGCACACCAGGCCTGGTGTTGTTCCAGAAGCTGCTAGAATCCTGGACAGGCAGCCTTTGTCTTCCGGGACGTCCCTGAGTTGCGGGGGACGGTGCTCAGACAACGCGGAGCATCTCCGTTCAGGGACGTGGTGCCCAGGCGGGGCAGAGAGGCCTGGGGACCGGCACCTCCGGCGCCGCCGCTTGGAGCTGAGGCAGGAGAGGGGGCCCGGTGACGCCCAGAGCAAAGTCTGGCCGCGTGCTGGGCTGCCGCCCGCTGCCGACGTTTGCCCTGCCTTCCCTCTGACCCTGGCTCATCGAGTCCCACGAAACCGCGTTTAACCTGTGGTGTGAATGCATGTACTAAAGCCTGTTTAGTCTGGGGATCTAAACAGGTTCATGAATATTTTTTTATTATTATTAAAGCAGAATAAATGGGGTTGTGATGCTGAACTGCAAACTTAGAAGCCAGAACATGTGCGGGTGAGGACATCGGCCACAGAGCTGGGTTCAAATCCCAGCTCCACCACCTGCTGGGCGTGTGACCTCGGGGGAGTCAGCCAGCCTCTCTGGACCTCGGTTCCCCTTCTGTGCGATGGGGGCGCTAACACGCCTCCTTCCCTAGGGCCATGGGCGGGGGGAGGGGGGCGGGTGACAACAGCACGTGAGGCGTAGCCCGTCCGGAGTGTCCAATAAATGTTCACTGTCAGAGGAATCACATTACTAACCCAAATGCCTTCTAACTGAACCAGTATTTTTTCAGGAAAACAGTGAGCCAGCCTGAGCCGCAGCAGAAACCCCCCGCCGTCTGAGATCAGGAAAGAGCCCCACGGCCCTGGGGGCCGCGGCTGGCCACCCCACGGCCCTTTAGTCTGCACAAAGTCCTCTTATTCTCCTCACGTTGCAAATGAGAAAACAAAGGTTCAGAGAGGCTTGGTAACTTGCCCCAGGTCACACAGCAAAGACTTGCCAGTCTGACCTCCTCTGTCGTTAGGCAGCGGGGACAGAATTTGATCACAGGGGAATGTCACTGGGTGTGACTGGTAACGCGCTCCTTCCCTCCGCCCCTCCCTCCCTCCTTCCTTCACCTATGGGTGTCCGGAGGGCCCGCTCCTCGCGCTGCCGGCGTCTGGCCTGTCTGTGAGCCTCTCAGGCTGGCGAGCATGTTGAAACGGTTCCCGCGCCCTCTCTGTCCTGCCACCTGGGCTGCGAGGACAGAGAGACACGAGGCCGTCCTGTCACCCGCTCCCGCAGCTCCCCCTCCAGCGTGGACGCCCACCTGCGGTTCCCGGACAGCAACGGCCTCCTGCAGTCGCCGCGCTGGGACGAGCCGCAGCGGGCGCGGGCCCTGGAGCAGATCTGCGGCGTCTTCCGTGTGGACCTGGGGCACATGCGTTCCCTGCGCCTTTTCTTCAGGTGAGAGCCGGCTCTTGGGGCAGGTGGGCCTGCGGGCGGCCGCGTCAGCAGGGGGACCCACAGCGGCGGCCCCACAGGACGTGGGTCGGGGTGGCTCCCAAACTCATTCGTTGCTTGGGACTCTGGTGTGCGGGGTGGGGTCGAGCCAGCCTGCTCCCCGCACGCAGGAGCTGCTCTGGGCTTCCTGGAGGGAGGCACCCTTTCTTCTGGGGCGGGCGGACCACCCCTCTGACTGTCCTGCCCAGTCGCCCCATCAGATCCCCCCTGAGGGGCAGGGTGGCCCAGCCACAAGATGGCACCAGCCAAAGACCTTCAGAAGAAGAGGGAGTGTCGCCCGAGAGGGTTCGCCGACGCAGAGCCCCATCCCAGACTCTTAGGGCTGCCGAGGTCGGCTGGCGGCCTGGCTGCTGGCGGTGATTTCCCAGGAGGGTCCCCAGCGGGCCACCAGGTCTGCTGGAGGAAGCCCCTGGGAGGAGGCTGCCGGGCTGCCGCCCCCCTGGATTCAGAACCTGATTCCACTGACAGCGTCCGCCCCCCACTCCCAGAGAGAAGGGACTGCACACAAGTCCTCTCCGGCAGGTCTCTTGGGGAGCAAACGGGGACAGGCCTGTGTCCCTGCCTCCCTGGGAGGGAGCGAGCTCGTTTGTCTTCCTCGGCAAAGTGGGTGCCGGCTTCTGCTGGGCTCTAACTCGGTCCCCCTCTCAGGCCAGCAGCCAAACTCCACAGGGACTTCCTGTTTCCTGCCTCCGAGGTCACTGATAGTGGCCTGTGATTATACTTGGCAATAAAAGCCTGTGCTCACACACCCACCCCTTGTGCTCCGCCCCCCCATGGCCGCGCAGCGACGAGGCCTGCACCAGTGGCCAGCTGGTGGTCGCCAGCCGCGAGAGCCAGTACAAGGTCTTCCACTTCCACCACGGCGGCCTGGACAAGCTGGCGGACGTGTTCCAGCGGTGGGAGTACTGCGCCGGGACCCACCGCAAAGACCAGGTAGCCGTTGCCGCCCGCGGAGCTCCCCTGCCTCCATCGGGGCCCACGACGCCCCGCGCCTCTCCCCTGCCCAAGGCCCCGTGGGCTGCGACTGCAGCGGCCGGCGGCTGATGGGGCAGCCACGCCGGGTTTGAAACAAGTGCCCGCGGGTTCCTGTAACGCCAGTGCTCTGTGCGCGCGGCAAGCCATGTTTTGACAAGGCTTCCCGCCATATTTTGCTCCATCTCCATACAAATGTAATAAGCGCTCTTTAATTATCTGTTTAAGATACTGTATGTGCTTATTAGAAATGGGGCCGACTTGAAAACCCCCTTCCTTCCCGCCGAGCCTCCTGCTGGCTTCCCTTATTGCAGGAGCCTGGCTTTTCCCCCTCCATTGAACAACCTTTGATTTTTGAATTAAATGTCAGCTGCAGTCTTGCCCTGGATTCGCGAGTGCCCGTGGAGACAACCTGACAGGCGGGCTCCCTGCTCGCTGAACAGCGATCCCTTTGTATGCGGCCAATCACATGTAATTTATTGCAGGCCCTTCCGGCAGAGACAGAGGGAAGTTGGGCCCAACGAGGCATTAATTCCATTTTGCGGCTGCGGGTCGCAGGGAGGGGGGGGCGGCGGCCTAGTGAACGGCGGGGGCAGGCGGGCGGGAGCGGGCCAGGGAGCCAGGCAGGGCGGGGGCAGCAACGCCAAGACGGAGGTATTTGCGTTTTAATTGCGTTCGATTACAGTTGCCACTCAGGGGTTTCTGTGCAGTGCAGGGCAGGGGCTCCCCCGCTCCCCCCGCCAGCTTCCGAAGGGAGGCTGCGGCTTTCCCGCCCCGCCAGAGCGCCGCTGGCCTCGACCCGGCGGCTGCACGCTCATCTCCGCACCGACCGCCTGTCCCGCAGGTCGCCGACGAGAAGACGTGCATGAAGTTCTCCATCCGACGCCCCAAACTGCCCTCCTCCGAGACGCACCCCGAGGAGAGCATGTACCGCAGGCTGGACGTCTCCGCCTGGCTGCAGCACCTGAACGAGCTGGGCCAGGTGGAGGAGGAGTACAAGCTGCGCAAGGTGAGGCCTCCTGCGGGGCGGGGCCGCCTCGCGGGGGCGGGGCCTCCTGCGGGCGAGGCCGCCCCTCCGGCGCGGAGCCAGCCCGGGGGCGGGGCCTCCAGCGGGGCGGGGCGGGGCGGGGCCGGGCGAGCGCGCCCGAGGCGGCAGCCCCGGCCGCCTTCGTGGGGTGCGGGCGGCCCGCCTCCGCCCGTCTGAGAGCGCGCGCGCTGAAATGCACCGCGTCCAAACCCGCGGATTAGGCCGCGACGTGAGAACCACACGTTCCCCGAGCGCCACCCCGGGGGGGCATTGACATTGAAATGAGCCTGGCCGCGCGCTGTATGGGAATGGAGGGCCGGCCCTTTCCCCTCCCAAACAAGTGCAAATTGCGGCCGCTGAATCAAGGCATCGGTTGTCAGAAGGCGCAGCCAAGCCACGAAAACACAGCCCTCCCGGGATCTGGGGGCGCTCTGAGCGGCCCCGCGTTGGCCCCTCCCCAACCGCGGCCGCTTCCTCCAGGCCATTTTCTTCGGCGGCATTGATGTGTCAATCCGGGGGGAGGTCTGGCCCTTCCTGCTGCGGTATTACAGCCACGAGTCTACGTCGGAGGAGAGAGAAGCGCTGCGGGCGCAGAAGCGGAAGGAATATGCCGACATCCAGCAGAAAAGGTAGCCGCCCGACCCCGGAGGAGGGGCTCTTGGAAAGGCAATGGGAGGTGCAGGTCAGCATGCTGTGTCCAGTGACCCACCGTCTCTTTCGAGAATGTTCTCTCTGGGCCGTGAGCGCGGTCATTATCCCAGGCACCCTTTAGCTCGCACGTCACAGTTTTAGGACCCTTTTCAGCCGGCTTAACCAAGCGCTGGGCTGGCGAGGGGTTGGGGGCGGCTCGGTGGCCCAGCGAGAGCCAGGACCGCTGAGGTCCATCTGGGCCCGGCGGGTCCCTGGGCTGGGGTCGGCTGTCCTCCCGTGGGGCCGTGGTCGTGCTGGGGACCGCCTTGGGGACTCCCAGTCCCCGTGTCAGTGGGGAGACGGAGGGTCCCCAGTTCCCATCCCGGGTCAGGGGTGGGGCGGGAGGACGTGCACGTGCTACTCGCTGACCCCGGTGGGCACCCTGCGCCACACCAGGCTCTCCATGACCCCCGAGGAGCACAGGGCATTCTGGCGGGACGTGCAGTTCACCGTGGACAAGGACGTGGTCCGGACAGATCGGAGCAACCAGTTCTTCCGAGGCGAAGGCAATCCGAACGTGGAGAGCATGAGGTGCCCGCCTCACCCCTCCGGCCTTGGGCGACCCTCTGGGATGGACGGGCCTGCAGCTCCTGAGGGGGCGGGGTTCATGCAGCTGCCCCAGAAGCGGAGAATCGTTAGCTTTAGCCAGCTTCGCTCGGCCTCTGCGGTCACAGTGTCCGGGGAAGCCCGTCAGTCTCTCCCACGGTGCCAGCAAAGCTGCTGTCCCCTGGGCCTCCTTGCCTGGCTCACGTGGACCATGGCAGAGCCTGCCCGCGCGCCTCCCAGTGGGTGGTCCTCCAGGCGATAAAGCCACGCGGAGCCCGGGGCTGGCATCTTGGACATTCTGCTGCCGCCTGGCAAATAATTGCACAAAATTAGCAGCCCATAAAAACGTCCCTGCCACCCCGCCTTTTGTCACAGGCGGTTGACCATTAAGAGAATCAGACCCACATTCTTCCTTCCCCCGCACTCACTCGAGGCCTGGTGAGTGGCTAATGGCAGGCCATTACCTTTCCCAAGGCCTGGAGAGGCAGTCCCCTGGGGTTGAGGCGGAGGCCGGGGGTTGGGCAGCCCGGGGTCTCCAGCCCAGGGTCCTGCTGGCCCCCGGCGACGTGCCCCTAGTGGGACAGCAAGGACGCGTAAGTGGTGGCCACCCTCGCTGATGACCTGCTCTCCGGGCTGGGGGGCCAGGAGGATCCTGTTGAACTACGCAGTGTACAACCCGGCCATCGGCTACTCCCAGGGCATGTCGGACCTGGTGGCGCCCATCCTGGCCGAGGTCCTAGACGAGTCGGACACCTTCTGGTGCTTTGTGGGTTTGATGCAGAACACCATCTTCGTCAGCTCCCCTCGGGATGAGGACATGGAGAAGCAGCTGGTGAGGCTGCCCTCGGGGACGTGTGTGGAGAGGTCTCGGTGGCTGCGTGGGACGTGGCGGCTGTGGGTCAGCAGGAAAGCCAGGGCGGGCGTTGACGGGGTATGGGGGCTCAGCCTGGAGCCTCTAGGGAAGGGCGCATGCTGCTCCCTGTTCTCAGGGTGCCTGCTTTCAACGCCCCCTGCCCCCGCAGTCCCTGCAGGCTGGGGGGCTGGGCGGAGCAGGCCCCCCACCCCGGTGGCTCTCAGCTCCTGCATGCAGCGTCCCAGCCCAGGCTCCCCAGCAGGGCTGGAAGGGAGGGCTCACCGCCCCCGCCTGAGCTTATCACCCGGGTCCTCAGGTGCATCTGGGCTGCTCCCTGCCCAGGCCCCAAGCAGCCAGGGCTCCTGAAGCCACCCTGAGGCCCACTGGGCAGCGGTCCCAGCCCCTCCAAAGGCCTTCCCTGCAGAGGCCGGCAGCACCCCTTCCTGCGTGGCCTCCTGTGACCTACAGAGACCAGGCAGCACTGAATGCCGGGGAGCGGGGGGCAGGCAAAGGTGAAAAGGCGCCTGGGGTTCCAAGTACCAGCCAGCTGCCGGGCACTGGGATGCGGTCTGGACTCCCCAGTCCCCGAGAGAGATGACCGGTGCGGGGGGCGGATGAGAGGGGAAGACGCTGGGTGCGTGGGGGGCAGATCCGAATGGGAAGCGAGGCAGGTGGAGCAGATCGACCGCACTGCATGGGGTCGGGCCTTGGACGCTGCCGAGACTCGGCTGTCCAGTGCGTTCGGGGCCCGGTCCAGTTGGGCGACACGTGTCATGTGCACTGAGGGGCCGAATGCCATGCAGGGAGCGCGTCCTTTGGAGTGCACATTAGGGGGCCGCCGAACTCGGCAGACAGGGGCGGAGAACGCAGCAGCGGATTTGAGCAAAGGCGGCCGGGGGCGGGTGGGGGGGTATGCAGACTGCACGGTGAGGGCCCTGGGTGGGGGGTCGGGGGCGTCCGTGACGGGAATCAGCCACATTTGTGGACGCGACCCTGCTGTGGGCCACAGGACGTAGACAGGGGCTGGTGGGGATGGGCCCACAGGATCTGCCCCTACAAGGGGCCTGTGTGCCCGTTCCCATCTCCAGCAGGAACAAAGGGCTGCTTGTGTGGGAAGGGGCCAGTGAGCCCCCGAGCCCCCTCCCCCAAGCCCGCGGCTGTGGTCCCGAGAGCGTGGGATGCGAGCCCAGGCCACCCCGCTCTCCGCATCCATGCGATGTCAGGTTTCCCCGGTACCTGGGGAGCCCATTGCTGGGTCTGGTGCCACGCGCCCCCACGCACTCGCAGAGCACGGGGCCCTGTGACTTGGTAGCCACTGGAGCCTGATTTTCCAGCGGCGCCGGTGGAGTTGGCAGCCCCGGCCGGGCGCTGCCGCAAATAGCCGTGACCTCGTTCCACGTCACTGGGTGGTGACCGTAAGGGCAGGAGTCAGCGTCCTGGGGCCCAGCACCGCCCCCCGCCCCTCCGTTCTGCCTCAGCTCCAGAAAATGAGGGTCTTCCAGGTCTGAGCGGAAGGTGGTTGCACCCAGGGTTCCCAGGAAGGAGGGGGTGTCAGAAACAGCCCGCACAGGGTGGCTGTGGCCGGGGAGCCTTCCCAGCACCAAGCTCGCCTTGGCGGCCGTCTGCGGCAGGACACCATGCTCCGCCAGCCCTGGGCCCCAGCACAGCCCCTGGCATCGTCTCCAATCTGACAGGGCCTGGCAAAGGCAGGCGTGGGTCAGAGTCCGGCGGGAGAACAAACTGAGCCGGTGCAGACACGCAGCCCAGCGGCCTCGCGCGTGGCTCGCCGTGGTGCTGCAGGGGCGGGCGGCCCGAGGAAGGGCCCCGGGGGTGCGGCCGGGCTGCGGGCTAACGGGCCTGCCTCGCGCAGCTGTACCTGCGGGAGCTACTGCGGCTGATGCACCCGCGCTTCTACCAGCACCTGGTCTCGCTGGGCGAGGACGGACTGCAGATGCTCTTCTGCCACCGCTGGCTGCTGCTGTGCTTCAAGCGCGAGTTCCCTGAGGCCGAGGCCCTGCGGGTCTGGGAGGCCTGCTGGGCGCACTACCAGGTGAGCCGGGGCGCAGCGGCCGGCACCGCGTACCGCAGCAGCAGTCCCCATTCTGCACCGCGCCGTCCTGGAGGGCAGGGTGCCCGTGGAACCTCGCACCTCCTCGGGGGGTCCCTCCTCTGACACGCCCAGCCCCCTACCAGCCCCAGGCCAGCCCCTCACATTGTCACTGCCTTCCCTCCCTCCGTGTCCCCCCTGCTGGCTTCAGGCCTGCCCCTCGCCTCCCCAGGAACTGAAATGGATGCAAATTGCCCGCTGACTGCCCTCATTACCACCTTCTGGGGCTGAGCTCGCTTCTGTCACATCCAATCAGCGTGAAGGACGTTTCCAGAGCCAGGCAGGCCCACCCCAGCAGCCTAGGACGCTGGTGCCCACCCGCCTTCTCCCCTCGGGACAGCCCACAGACCAGGCTGAGACCCCGTGCCTCCACCAGAGCGCCCAGGGCCAGCCCACCGCCCCCACCCGGTCACGCTGATTTCCGCTGGTGTCCCCGGTGTTCAGTGTCTCCTCAGCAAATCTCCCTGAGAGCCCAGTGCTAACCCTGTCACATGGCTTTAACGCCCAAATGAGCGACAAGCTGACGACGCTAAAGGAAGTCTCTTCAAATCTATCAGCCTTTGAAATAAAACAGGTTTGACGCATCGGAAGGTGGCCAGGACCCTGTCTGCGAGGTCCGTCCCCACTGCGGCCGCCCTTGCCAGCGCCGCCTGCACGGTCGGGGGAAGTGTCTGCCCGCCAGGACCCGCGCTGGCCTGGGCAGTCCAGACGCCTGCCGCACACTTTCTCTGATCACGTCAGCTTTGCAAGGCCTCATGGCCTGTTTCTCCAGCGGCAAAATGGCCACCCGCACTGCATCGCGAGTAGGCTGATGTTAAAAGCAAACCCCGAGCTCTGCCCAAGAGGCAGGGCCCTTCCTCACACTGACTTCATTTCTGTCACTTGGTAAAAATTCCCAGGGGAGGCCCGTTGGAACATCTGTCTTGATGTGAGGTCCACCAATCAAGATCACATCGTTTTCAGACTTCGGGCAAAATGTAGCCACAGTTGGCTCCTCTCCTTGATCAAATTAGGGGGTGTGGGGGGTGACGGTAGTGGGGGTATGCTAATTCATCAGAAGTGAGCTCTGGGTTGGGGGGTCGCCCTCAGCTGGACCCCAGAGTGAGGGAGGCTCTGTTCTATCCGTTTGCTGCTCGCTGGCCTGTGGGGGCTGGGCTGCCCTGGGCCAGATCCCGGGAGCTGCAGTTAGTCCTGAGCTGTTGTCCAGCCTGACTGAGGGTGTGTGACACCCTTTCTGCCCCACCGTCCTCTCTGAGAGGAGCTGGATGCCCCCTGTCTGGAACCCTCTGCCGTTTTGCCCCGCCAGCTGGACCTCACACAGCGACGGAAGGACAGGTTCAGGCCCAAACAAGGCCGCCCTCGGGGCGGTTCCGGGGAAGGGCCCGCAGTCCGGCCTGGGGACCAGCGCTGGGGCGTGTCCTCTCTGGGGCATGTGGGGTGTTTGCTGCTGTAACCATGGCCTGCCCCGCGGGCCCTGCCCGGCCCGGCCGGGAATCACGGTTCCATCTGGCTGGGGGGTCGACCTTGGGGGACTAAACATGGGCTTCCAGGGCTCCTTGTCCTTCCTCTGCTCCTGAAAATGTGTCTGAATCAAAGCCCACGTGCCCTCCGAGCCTCCGGACCGGAGGGAGCGCAGGATGCTCCCGGGTCAAGATCAAGTGCCGGCTTCCTGCTGCGGGCTAGGCGTGGCCCCTCGGTGGGGGACTCAGGGGCTGCCGGCCGGCTTCGTTCGGATCCTCTTCCCACCTTCTCAGCAACAAACCTCAGAGTCATCTCTGGGGCAGGCGCTGGGACGTTCCCTGGACGTTCGGCGGGTGGCTGCTGGGCGTCCTTTCTCACTGGCGCGTCACATCAGCCACCGGAGTGTGTGCTGGCCCGGCCTTCCACACCCGCTGTGCCTGAAGACTTACCAACAACCAATAAGCCTTTAGAGCAAACGCAGGCTGGCCTTCTGACAGTGTGTTCTTTGCCCACCACCGAAAGTACGCACCCAAAGGCCTCCCCTAAAGAGTCCCAGCCGCCCATGGGAGCCTGTGGATGCTGTCAGAGGCACTGACATTGGCCCTTGCAGGCGGGGAAACCGAGGATGAACGAGGTTGTGTGGCTTGCCCGGGGCCCCCTAACCCGCCCAGACAGGCTCACCTGCACCTCTGCACTCGGCCTCCGCCTGCGGGCAGGGCCGCGGGCGGTTCAGGGGCCTGACCTGAACCCCACCCTCCACCCCCCAGACGGACTACTTCCACCTTTTCATCTGCGTGGCCATCGTGGCCATCTATGGGGACGACGTCATCGAGCAGCAGCTGGCCACCGACCAGATGCTCCTGCACTTTGGAAACCTGGCGATGCACATGAATGGGGAGCTGGTACTCAGGAAGGTGAGCGGCGGGCCCCGCCCCCACATGCAGAGCCCCGCCCCCTCACCAATAGAGTCCCGCCTCCCCTTAAGCCCCACCTGGACTGCAGGCCCCAGGTGCTGTGAGCTCCCCACCTGGGCCCAGCCATCAGCACCGATGGCCGCGGCCTGGGCCGAGCTGCGGGCTGCTTGTGCCTTCGCCCACGTGGCCGTGACCCAAGAGCCTCCCTCCCCACGGGACTGAACAGATGATCAGGGTCGTTAGACACATTCCCCACCGTGGGGCACACAGCCCAGAGGCAGGAAAGCCTGCCCCTGGGGCCCTGCTCCCAGAGGAGCGTAGCTGCTCCTCCCCCAGGGTCAGCGGAAGAAGGGGGTTGTGAGCTGGGCCCCTCCCCCACTTCCCAGACCCCTGCTTCTTCTGGCTCTGTAGGGGATGCGGTTAGCCGTCCGTCCGTGGGTAGGAAGGGGGCTTGCGCAGTGGGGCTGAAACGTGGGCCCGGGGTGGGGGCGGGGCGCCAGGGCCTCGTGTGGGGCCGAATGAAAGGGGTCCTAGGAGAGGGCGGCGGCTCTGCGCTGCCGCGGCCTCCTCGGTGCAAAGGCCGTTCGTGAGCGCCCTCCGTCTGGAGCCAAGAGCCCTGTGGGCCCTGTGGCCGTAACTGGACTGAAGGTCCCTCCAGGCAGGCGTTGAATGCGATGCTGCCGGCGGAGCCTTCGGCGCTGAGCCCCGCACGTGGGCGGCCCGCAGGTGTGAGCCATTGCCGCGTGGGCTCCTTGTCCACCGGCTGTCCCCCTGCCCCTCCTCACCGCCCGCCCTCTCTCCCCACAGGCGCGGAGTTTGCTCTATCAGTTCCGCCTCTTGCCCCGGATCCCCTGCAGCCTGCATGACCTGTGTAAGCTGTGTGGGACTGGCATGTGGGACAGCGGTTACATGCCCGCCGTGGAGTGCACGGGCCACCACCCGGGGTCGGAGAGCTGTCCTTATGGGGGCACGGTGGAGGCGCCTTCGCCCAAGCCCCCCAGAGAATGCAAGAAGGGCCCAAAGACGCCTCGGGAGGGCTTTGCTTTCCGCAGATAGGTCGGGCCCTCGCGCTGGACAGAGGTTGAGGGGGACCTTCTCCCCGAGGGTCCCAAGCATGTGGGAGGGGGTGGGGATGGGCATGGACGGGACAGGGGATGGTCGAAATGTAAGGAAAACGCCTTTGGGCAACATGAAGGGGACATTTTCATATTAACGATGAAAGCAGAATCTGGACGTGGGAGAAGGAGTCCCGCCCGCCGCCCGGAGAAAAGTCAGCTCCCGAGAGACGGCGGCACCAGAACGCACGGCCCCTCCGCCTGGGGATGCAGGCGGTCTGGCTTCCCGTGGCGCCCTCCTCCGATGCGTCCCAGCCAGGCCCAGGGTGTCCCCAGCTTTGCTCGCCAATGCAGGGCGCTGCCAGGCAGTGGGGAAGGCAGAGGCAGGAAAAGGGGGGCTAGTTCACCCACCAGCGCCTGGGGATGCAGAACAGGAGGGGGACCCCCCGGGCCAGAGACGTCTTTGCAAGCTGGACGCCTCGTGGTCGGCCCCGTTCCCTGAGCAAGCCCGCCGCCTCCCACGGCTCCTCCAGCTGCAGCTGCGGCCCTGATGTGAACATGTCTGCCCCGCAAGAGAAAAATGCCCCGCTGATTTCAGGAGCGGGGGTGTGATCTGGGGTGGGTTGAGAAGCTGGGGGCTTTCACACTGTCCACGCAGACGTTGTACACCGTGGCTGGTGAGGGAAACGACCTGCCTGTGAGCTGAGCCACGGGGTGTCGGAGAGCGCCGGCCTCCTCCGGAGCGGACGACTGTCTGCATGAGGTTCTTTGATGTTAAGGTCGACCTCACCAAATGCAGCACACTGGGGGCGGGGGGCTGGGTGGGTGAGCGGTGTGCGCGCGTACATGCGTGCGTGCAAAGCCCTCTGGAGAGAAACCATGTCGGGGGCAAGTGGTAGTATATTAACGCACCGACCAGGACAAAGGCAGTGGAAGACCGCTAGGTGGGCGGATGCAGGGGCAGCCGCGGGAAACTAGCCAGCGTTCCGGGCCCCTCTGCGCCCGGTAGGAGGCAGGTCCTCGCGACCTGCTCTCCCTCCTCCGTGCGGGCCGACTCCCTCGGCCGTCTGCATGGGGCGCCACGCCCCGTTCTGGTGGGAGCGAGGACGCCTGGACCCTCCAGCACACACTCTTCTGGGGTGAAGGCACCATGAAGTGCAAGAGTGGGGGTGGGGGGTGGCGGCAGGCCACCTGAGAGCTTCCTCGGACCCACCCAGTGTGTCAACGGGAAGGAGGGAGCGAGCAACTCCTCCTCAGACTCTGCAACCTGAGCCCCCAGTCCGCCCCCAGGCAAGGGGACCGAGACCCTACTTCCAAGTTCCTGGTCGCCCTGTCCAAGAGCCCTTGGGGGAGGCCAGCCTGGGGCCCCCACTGTGCCCAAATCTGGGCGTGCTGGCCACGATGGTCCGGCTGGGTGGACTTTCCATCCACTTTGTTTCTGGGAGAAGAAGATTGCTTTTCTGCACGGGCTCCTGATGCATGATGGAATTGCTCCCATTAACTGGGCACTACACAGACCCTCCTCTAGAAAAGCTGGCCCCCATGGACAGGTGTATCCGTGGCCCATTGCCACAGCAATGCTGCATGACAACCTCATCACTGGACGGCCTCACCCCGCACGCGCACGTCTCCCCTGCGAGTCTGGGGCCAGCGGTGTAGGCTGGGCGGTTCCGGTCTGGCTGGGGCTTGCTCCCATGTGGGGTGTCAGCCTGCCGTGAAGCCTCAGGGTGTGCCCACAGGGGCAGAGGTCAGCCTGGGCTTGGCTCCGTGTCTCTGCGTCCCTCTGTTGGGCTAGCCACAATCCGGGCAAAGACGGTGGGGGGGCAGAAATGCTCAGACGCCTTTCCGAGCCAAGGTGAACGCCACATCTGCTGCCGTCCCATTGGCAAAGCGAGTCACAAGGGGTGGGAGTGGACCGACTGTCTCCGTAGTGAGATGGGCCGCCTGGTGACCGGGCCGGGCTGGGGATTCGGCGAGGGCTGGGGACCTGGGCAGTCGGCGCAGCCTCGCCGCCCTCAGGAGGCCCTGGTCCAAATAACAGAGTTTTGGACCCCGCCTTCTGCAGCAGGGCAGGACCCTGCACCCTGGGGAGGCAGAGGCTGCGCCCCCCGCCCCCAGCCGCAGCAGCAGTTGTGCATTGCTCTGCAATATCTTGTGCCTTTGGGCTGCTGGTTTGGAGGTGGGGGTTGTGCAGGGAATCCCCTCATTGGGAGAGTCCTAGCACAAAGCTTTTATCCCGAATCTCCCAGCTCCCACAGCTCCCCAAGATCCTGCACCAAGTGCCACCCTACCCTCGGTGCCCCCGCCTCTCGCCCCCGTGGGCTGGCCTCGGCCCCGCGAGGTCGCCTCAGAGCGGCCAAGAGCCCGGCAGCCCCGGACGCGTGGGCTGGTGACGGCCTACCCGCCAGGATCCCTTCATCTGGAGGCAATTAGAGGAAACCAGCCAAGCCCCGAGGCAGCTGTGCCCAGCGCTGTTCCCAGCCAGCAAAGGCATTAGGGCGATAATTCAGTCATTAGACTTCCAGCCTTTCCACCGCCAGGCCGTGCAAACGGCGTAATCAGCCCGCGCCACGGCTCTCCGCGATGCTGCTTATTTAACCCATTTTTTAAAATGACACTTAATGTTATTGGCCGGCGTGCGTGTGCGCGCATAGCTAAGTTCCCCGTGCTAATGTCTGTGCTGTCGCTGCAGGGAGCCGTCAGGCCTCTGGGGCACCTCTGGTGCGTGCCTGCTTGCCGGGGAGGGGCGTGGGGGGGCCTGGAAGGGGAGGAGGGAGCTGGGCCCGGGGCGTGGGGGACACACAGGTGGTTGGGTTGGGGTCTTGTTGGTGCTTGGTCACCCTGGCTGGAACGAGGAACGTGTGCTCGCCCGAGGTTCTGGACCCAAGTCCGTGCAGGGAGAATTGGAACTGGCAGGGAAGGGAGTCCTCGTCCCCGAGCTGCCTGGGGAGGATGGGTGGGGCGGGGGGGGGCGCAGGCCACCCCTGCAGGAGGGGGCCCAGCCATCTGGGAGGAGCAGCCCTGTATTGTTCCGAGTGGTATGTGTCACAGGATGGAGGTGTTTGAATGGAGGGCCTCGACCACGTGTCCTCTTCAGTTTTCCGCAAGAGCCCTGTTTAAAGCCTCCTGGGGACAGGCAGCTGGATGGGGTGAGCGTGCTGGTCCTGGAACCTGGGCTTCCCCTGGGCCCTGGGGCGTGGCTGGAGGAGGTCCCCAGCTCCACCTTTGCCAGGCAGGTATGGGAAGTGGGGCGGAGACGGTGGAGCGTGGCGGGGCAGCAGGGGGGCACGCTGGTTCTCCCCTCAGCTTCTGGAGGCCCCCTGGGCTCTTTGGGGCAGCCCCCCCCAGTGATGGGTATCTGCCCCCAGCCGTGGCCATCGGAAACCTCCACCTTCCGCCCCGCCGCAGGGAGGCTGGAGGGGATCAGAGGCGCCTGGTTTCGGGGTACAGCCCGGGCCAGAGGCTGGCCCAGAGGGGCCTTTGGGCTGTGCCGTGGCCACAGGGAGGCGAGGAGCCCACCAGTCCAGCCTGAGGCTGGCCGCTCTCCCCTGGAGTCCCCGGTGAACCAGGCAGCCCAGGATCCATCAGCCCTGCGTCTCATACGCAGCCTCCACAGCGTTCTGTCCCTGCTCAGAGGGACGCGCCCGAACTAACACCTGCTTTCCCCCAAAGTTGAGTGGCTGCAGGCGGTTCCCCACAGGGGTGAGAGGCCCCGTGTGTCAGGAGGACCCCTGCCTGGGGGCAGGACCCCGACTCTGGTCCTGGTCCGGCCCTTCCCGTGCCCGCCTGCCCCCACCCGAGCCTCCGTTTCTTTGCCCTTGGAATGGGCGGTGCCACCCGCCTTGCGAGACGGCCGTGGGGACTCTGGGTGAAAGCTGTCGTGAGGAGGCTCGCCTAGCCCCTGGGGCTCCCCTGCCACTCAGGGAAGAGGCCAGTGACTCTGGCCGTCGGGGGTCCTGACCGAGAAGGGGGTCCTGCTCAGCACTAAGAGCTCCCTTCCACTGGGTACCGCTCTGTGCCTCTTTTCTGTACCACTCATCTTGTGCCACCCGCTCCCGGCCACGGAGGAAAACCAGCCTCGAACCCCAACCTCAGCGCCCCCTCCAGGCGCACGCCCGTGTGACACGGGCTGCAGGACTCCCGAGTGGGGACGCGGCGCGTGCGATCCGGGTCTCGCCCCTCGGTGTGGAGACCGCCGGGGCTGGGACTCCGGGCCCCTGGGCCCCGCGGAGCAGAGCAGGGTGGGGGTGCAAACAGCCGGCGGGCATCTGGCCACCAGAGCTTCGTAAGAAGGTAGCATTTCACGTTCGGAGGGAGATGAGTCACGTGGCCACCTCTCCAGCACCTCGGCTCAGAGAACAAGCCTGTCGTCTCGGGGGCTTCTTCATGACATTTCCACCACTATCGAGAGATCGCCCCTGTCCGTGGCAAGCGATTCCTTCTCTGTATTTCATTTTGTGTTTTCAACACGATCACCTGCTGGTCAGACCCCACCCGGCCACCATGACCTCCGCTGGCCACGGCTCCGATGACGCTTCCGGCTCTCACGGGTCCCACCACAGAGTAAATAAAACGCGTTGATGACAAATGTGTGTTCTAGGGCGCCTCCCGGAGACAGCCCGGCGGGTCTGTTGGGTCGAAACACAGCCGGTTCTGGTGCTGGGTAGAGAGGGCACCACGGGAGAGCCAGGGCTGTTCCCGGGCAGAGGAGGGCGGGAGGGCGGCAGGGCTCCTGCCAGGAAGCCTGGCCCACGGGCCCCAGCGCTGGGGGCGGGCGTGGTGAGAGGAAGGAGCCAGGCATCAGCTCCGTGGGAGCCCGCTGCAGGAACACGCGCGCCCCAGGGTTGCCGGAAGGGCGGCGAGGGCACGGTCGGTCCTGGCTCTGCCAGGGCACCGTGGCGGGTGGCGGGCCCCCAGGGCCTTGGCACCCCTGCCTGCATGGGAGGAGGGAGCCTCCTGGGTGTCTGCACCCCAGGGGGCCTCGTGTGCGCCCGTCCGGCTCGCCCTCCGCCCACCGGCCCGGGCCGCACCGCGCCCCTGTGCACAGCAGGGGTGGAGGCTGGCCGGGGAGGTGCCGGGGGCGGGACTGGCTGCGGCCCAGGCGACACCTCAGCTGCCCGGCACAGCTGGCGGCCCCGCTTAGGGAAACCTTGGTCTCTCCCTTTGGGACGAGGCGGCTGTCCGGCGGGGGCGGCGGCGGGGGGGCTGGCGCGCACGGAGACAGAGCCTGGCGCTCAGGGACCGCAGCCGCACTGTCGCACCCTCAGTAGCCGGACGCTGTGGGCAGCATGAACAGCGGGTGCACGGGGCCCCCCAAAGGCAGCCCAGCAGGAGGACGAGGCCCACTCCGACCCCCACCTCGGGCCACAGACTGGCCCACCCCCGCCCTTCCACCACGGGAGGCAGCTGGCTGCCCGGGTGTGGCCCGAGTCAGGATGTTTGTCTTTGCTCTGGTTCTCCATAAACAACCACAGCGCAGGCGGCCCTCAGCCGAGCCAGGCTTCGGGGCGGGGCCCGGAAGGGCCTGCCCTCTGCGGGCCTGCGGGCCTGGGGCCTGGGAACGGCTTGCCTGTGGCCGCACAGGCGGCCGTGTATGCCGCGCGTGTCCACGGCTCCGCCAGGGACGTTCCTGAGACTGCCGCCTCGCAGGGTGACCGTCCCGCGCAGCCCGACTCCACGTCGTCTGCTCACCGTTCGAGGAGCTCCCCGCGCGAGCCTCTGCAGTAAGGCCGGTGCCATCGCGCCGGGGGCCCGCCGTGGGGACCGAGGCCGCGCACGCCGGGCCACGGGGGCTCTGGGGCAGGCCTGCGTGCACCCTGCAAACCCTCCAATGAGCAGAGCCACCCGGCCGGCCCCCCAGAGGCCTCGTGGACATCCCTGCGCTGGCAGCCCCAGGGCAAGCCTTGAACGCCCGCCTGAGGGGCTTGTGGCGCCCGCCCCTCTCTGCAGGCGTGAGTCTCCCCCCAGGGACCAGTGAGCCACGAACGTCTCCTGATTCCGTTTCAGTCCCGCCGTGTCCTCTGAGGAGCCCACCGACCCAGTTCTGACTCAGTCATTGTCCACCCACCCACCAAAGGACGTGCAATGACAGGGCGGGAAGGGTCTCGTGAAAAACGGGCAGAGGGGGCCCCTGTGGCCACTGAGACTCCCTGTCCATACCTGAAGGCCCTGGCCCCTGGCACACCCGCATGTCTGCCCCTTCCTGTCCCCACGCGGAGGCCTGCAGATCAGCGTGCACGCGCGGGCACACGCGCCCCCGCCTGGAGCCGCCCACTCCCCTCCCCCACCGGCGGTGGAGCTCAGAGCAGACCCGGCAGCAGCCGGGCTGCAGGCCCCGCCCACCCCTCGCATTAGCCTCCCGCACCGAAAGGAGCAGCAGGGCTTGACGGGGCCTGGGAAACGCCTGGAGGAAAACTGCCGCGAGGACAGAGCTCCGCGGCTGCCTGAGTCACTCGGCCCTCAGACGGGCTGGCGCGAGCCAGCTCCGCCCTCATGCCCTCCCCTCCGCCAGGAGACGGGGGTCCAGACCTGCGGACCGACCAGCAGACACCTGCCGGGGCCTCACGGCCCACGCCCAGGAGTCCCCCTAATCCACTCCCTCCCCTACAGGTCGCGAGGGCCACCGGATCTCCAGGCTCCTGGCGGGGAGCGGAGGGGCGGTGCCGTGTCATTCAGACAAGGTGGTTTGCAAATATGCCATTCTGTCTCCATGACAGGTGAGATGCCACTGCTCTTCCATCAGCCTTTCGAACAAAAGAGGGCACTTTGTAGTCTGAGTCATTAGAACAGCGTGACTTTCTAAACCCTTGTTTGGATGTTGAAATTCGGGAGCAACAGGGGCCCAGGGCCACGGGCTGGGCGGAGCGGCAAAAGCAGGTTCAAAACCCCGTCGGCCAATGGGAGTCGCGTGCAGTTCAAAGGAAACGGGAAGGCTCCCCGAGGACCAGGCGCAGAGTTTACTGATCAAGTTCATTGATTCCTGGCCTTGCGTAAACACAATAGAAAAAGACACCGAGGGTCCTAGTGGCTGCAAGTTAATGACGACTGAGCCCCATGGTCTGGCCGCTGGTAAATCTAACAGTAGAATGCCAGTCCTGGGGAGTGAGGTCGGAGCTTTGGATCGGGCTCCCTGGAGAGCCGTGGCCAGGCCTGCCGGACACCAGCTGCGGGGGACCGGCAGAGGACTCTGAGACGGACACCCAAAGTGACGAAAAGGCTGAAGGACAATAAATGGTATCCAGGGTTTATGAATTAGTGAAGAGAGCGCCAACTAGCTGTTCCCAAAGGCACTGCCGAGGGGCTGAGCATCCGAAGGCCCCGCCTGCTGCCTCTGAGTCCTGGCCAGCCCACCCGCTGGGACCCTCGGCTCTTGGTGTGGAACTCTCCCTTCGCGGGAGAAGCCTGTCCCGCGGCCCCTCGCTCTGTCCAAGGAAACGGGGTGGGGGTCCGGCCTTTTGTCCTAGATCGCTGGAAGCCGGCTCCCTGGTGGGAGAGGGGGGCGTCCCAGGTTTGTTCCAGAACAGGAAACCCAGTGACCTGGAAACACCCAGCTGAGACCCAGGCCACCCCGGAGCTCCCAGGGCAGGTGGGGGGTGGGTTCCAGGTGGCTATCCCGCCCGCCCGCTGCCCTGTTGGCCACCTTCAGAGGAAGCGTGGCGGTGACTCCGGCAGTTCTGGGCAGGTGCCGTGGTGGGGGCGGGGGATCCCCACCCCCCTGCCCGCACGG